ACTTCATTCTTTCTCGTCAGCTGCGGGAAAGGGTTCCGGGTAGGCTGGACGGACGTGATCTACTGAATGGACACAGCGCAGGGTCCGTTGATGTTTTGAGGGAAGTTAGCGGCATGGGCACTGCGGTGTCGCCCGGTGGTCAGTGCAGATATCACTCGACGCAGGGCCCGGCTGCAGCAGACTGCGAGTGAGCAGGATATGGTGCCACTGTGTCACGCTGGAGGTCCGCAGCCACCGCCGGGCCCTCTGTCCGGACTCGGCCAGTGGGCGTGCGAACATTCGACAGCGAGAGCGTCACACACGGCGCCTCGACCGCGACCACCAAGGTCGGCGCCGTCCCACCGAGCCGACACGCCCGCCTGAGCCTAGTGAATACCAAGTCGCAGTCACAGCTGGCTAATGGACGCGAAACCAGGGGCTTTTTACCCCAACAGCGACCTTACGCATTCTGTACGATGGACCGCATACGCAGGAGGCCGTTTTGCACCGCTGTATTACGATATGGCAGCCCATCCTAGTTTGCACGCAGAAAGTCGGCAGCTACGTCTGTTTACATATTCCTGACGAATAAGTCACTGAGGACTTGGTGCAAAAGTATTCGATTTTCAAGTCATGCGCTAATCGGCTCTGCACAACATGGCTCCAGTCCTCTAACTGGGATCACGCTCTACATTAACCCAAGGTGCCCCTTGCAGGTTGTGTTACATCATGTTTGTGAGTTGACTAAGCTGTCAGACGTTCGTTATTCTGACTGTTACCGGCTAAATTAGAGAACTTATGTTCCAAATTTTCGGTAAGAAGGCAATAAAGTTACAGAAAAAATCTTAGACAGGGAGCACGAACAGTGGTATTGCCACAATATAGTGCGTTCCGCATACGTAAAATGATTTGGAAAACACCATTTTCGCCGCAGTGGCACCATCACAGCCGCGCACTGTCTACGGCGGGAGCACCACCACAAGCGCGCCATATCCGCTGCGAGAGCGGCGCCACAGCCGCGCTATATGCACAGCGTCACCACCGTACGGCATGCGTCACACAGCGTCACAGCCACGCCATGTGCCATGCACAGACATGTTCCACAGCGCACCAAGCCGGAACACCACTGTCCGCACAATAACGCCGCGGCCCGTATTCATGATGGCCCGTACCGGGAATTCCGACCCGATAGCTGCAAAACTGCTTGTTCATCAGCGTCGGTCGCTGTGGGTTCCACAATCAGAGTAGCGGCGACCCAAAGACCTAACCGCATCGCACACCCAGAACAAGAACGGATATGCACAACAACTAAACCCGAGGTCCACCCCGCTCGAATGGAGCTCGCGATACTAAAGCTCAAAAACGTATTTACTTCTACTATAAGCCAAAGCGGTTCATGACAGGATCATCTTAACGTTGCACAGCCCGCTCAGCAAGGCCGCTTTCACTGATAGTATCATACCAAGCTTGTTTCGTTGGCTTTCAGCGCGTGGGTATGTATTTACCACTTAAGGTATGAGCAGCCAAGATCCCCCCGGACTAGCCGTAAATTTCAGATTTTCCTATTTATGGGCCGCGAGGGCCGGCTTCAGGTGCCATATCGTAATTGTCGCGTTCGTAATAAAGATGTTAGGCATTAAAAACCTGTCCAGCCCGAGAAGTTTCTGCCTGTTTCGTACTTTTGTTGATGGGATGTTGGTTCTGAGATCGCTGTAAGTGGTGAAATGTGTGACGAATGTGTGTTTAACTGTGAAGTGCAGTAAGAGGTGTTTTGGTTTATTTCCACTCGAAGGATTTTGCTTGTTTTCAGACAGTTATCCTGCTTGTTGACATTCACCACATTGACATGGTATCATTCGTGAATGATTGGATGCAGATGTCACGAATTTTGATAGCAACCAGGAATATGTTTATCTTGCAAACATGAAGCCAACCTTTATAAAACAACCCAATCCATATTTTCTGTCTACTTCCTTCATGCACGAATTTCTCGGCATCGATCTTCGCCTGTAATTATTGAAATGCTAATCACACATGATGCAGTTTGCTAAGAGCTTGGTGGTTCCACGCTGCTTTAGTTTGCATTGCTTGGTACTCTTCTACAGTACAGAAAATGCTATGATATGGACGAAGCTGCGTTGTTTAACAGGGTTTGGCACGTCTGGTACAAAGAACAACCTACCTTCCATTCATTAGCCTGCAAATCATTCGCGATCTTGCCCTTTATACGTTTATGTTTCGGTCATAAGCGTTGACGAGAGACCGTTTGGAGATATACCTCCTGCGTCTCACTGACGGAACGTGCGCAAATTAAACACGAACACGCTTTCCAAGTTGTGTAGCGACGCTCATCGCATTTTAGGAAACCGCGCGTACGACTACATGCGTATGTGCGGAGGCGCAATGGATTCGGGGAAGCAAATGGGACATAAGCTGGGCCAACCGTATGTGATTTACAGAAAACTTTTTGCCGTGGCGTTAGAATCGGTTATAAGCGATTAACAGCTTGGTACCAATTGCAAGCGTTAAGTTATACAATTTCTTGCAATGTACAAATCGTCACGATTGGGTTGGGCCAACAGCACCGTTGTCCTGTTACGCATGAAAACATGCATGCTTTCACTCGGCCTGTAACACGTGGCGTCTCATGACGCCAAAGTTCATTATCGTTTTGTTTACAGCTACCAGGTATTTGCAGTGTCTGGCATGATATACCACAATTACACGTGATCACCTTTTGATACAAGCACAAGCTCGGAGATAGGCATGCTCGTTAACATTCGCACACTCGTCTGGTGTCATTAGTGTAACGTAAAGGTTTTCCACTTTCACCAGGATTTACAAACATGAAGTGTAAGCGTTTTTCTGGTTTTTTGAAATGCTTATGACCGCATTTTTTTCCAACAGTTCCAATATCTTCGCCAATCAGCCAACGAAGCCAACCGTGTATGGGCAGTAACGCAAAATTGACGGCAAAAGGGCCCAGTTTTACCGTCTCGTCATTGCAGGTCATCATACGTACAACGCATAGCCCCACATTTCCAGATGTGGTTTAATCTTTATCACACGGTCACACTGGGCCCCCCATGTCAGACTGCCACACCGTCGTCCCAGAACGAGTGCTTCTCATGCTTGCCACCGCATGCACGCATATGCAATGTTTACTGTGAATGGCGCGTGCGGGAACATGTAGATAAAGTAGGGTGTCATGTGGTTGACATGCAGTCGATGTCCATATGTAGGTCATGTAGAACGTATGTGTGGGCATCATAATACGCGCATATCTGTTTAAGCTGTGTATTGCGTATTCTCATACGATAATGTGTGCGTTGAATTACGTAACTCAGCGTTATCCTGCTCTTTTTGTGTTTGAAGTGGCATTAAGTTTATGAAATATAATGTTTGTGGCCGTGATTTTCTTTGATGCTTCTTGTAAATCGTCAACGTGACATGCAACAATAATAATTTCGATGATAGTTGTACGCTAATCGGGGCTTGTCCACTGGATTTTGTCGAAGGTCAGCATCGCGCCACATTCAGCGCAAAAACTACTCTTCCGCCCGACATCAGATTCAAACTAACGCTCTTCCTGCCTCGGGCAGTGGGATCGGTACCGTGGGTTCAGCGTCCATTGCCCCCTCGAGTCCCGTGACCCGATGCCGGGCGGTGGCAACCGCGAGACCGACCCGGCCACGGCCTCTGGGCCAGGAGAGGTTCCAGCACCGCGCCGGCTCCGTGCTTCGGGCAGGGAATCGGGTGCAGTTGAGCCCAACAGCTGAAGCGCAAGCTAGCTGAAATCATATCAGCTGGGTACATAGGCGATGAGGACGCGCACAAGATATTCGGAAAATCGTCCTGATTGGGCCGCGGCGGTGCGGCGCTCGTATCTAGGCTGAGACATGGGCGGCCATATCTATAATGAAAAAATGGGCCTGCCCGTTAGCCGGAGGAGGGGCGGGGGGGGAGCGATCAGAACAAAATTCGAACATGCCCACCGATGGCGTTCGAAGTGAGGGCAGTTACTTGCCCGACGTTCTGAAACATGTAGCGGCACCAGAAATCCCTATTCGTGCAAGCAAGGAATCCGTATTCAGCATCACTCCCCACGGACTTCCCTCAGATGTTCAAACGAACGCCGCAAAACTGAGAGTCACTGAGAACGTACACCCACGCCAAACCCCGGCGCATATGGACCCTTTCAGGCGGCCGTTCGTTCCACACGGTTCAATATTTCTGTGAAGATAGGGCTTTTGTGCCAACAGCAGCCGGCTATATTTGAACGACTGACCGCGTATCAGCGCAACGGCAAACTAAATATGACTCCGCATTATGGGTCAGTGATCTGAACCACTCACTGTTCGAGCGACATTTCCATTCATCTGAAAAACTGCTTTTTGCTTCACCGTTAAAAACACATCTATGCAGAGCTTATGCTTGGGGAAAAACCGGGCGGACTGAATCTTTTCAAATGCATTTACTGCCCACGAATGGCGACCTAAACCGCGTAAGATTTATTGTACTTCTCCCTTCCGCACCGCACCGCTCACCACATGCAATTTTACACGGCGACACATCCCTGAATGTTGTTTGCGCTAGCTAACGCTGGTATGGAAACAGCCAGTGCCCATGCTGCCCAACGACTACGCGCAGGCACATCCGCACGTCTGCCAACAGGATCGCGCTTTTACGGATCCGACGCAGCAAGACCCTGCGCTAACGAACCCGTGTGAAGTGGCACCCCTAATGGCACGGGACAGGCTTAACGGGATGAGAATAGCCCTATTCTTGTGCCAATTATGCGGCGAGCTACGGCGCCCTATTTGGCGCAGCGCCAGCCCGCTCGCCCCTTACGAGATGACGCTCAGCTCCCTGGGTCGCGGCCCTCTCCTGCCAAGGTGGCCCCGCGCAGGGGCCCCTCGCCGGTCAGGGGTCGGCGGAGCGGCGGCGCGACTCCACAGCTCCCTTTTCGGTCAATATGGGGATCGGTTCGGCGGAGCCGGCTCGCCTCGTAACCCACTCACCGTGTCGGGCGGGGCGCGCGGTGCTGTCGAGGCTCTGGTCGAGGCTCGTGTGGCGGGTGAAGGGTCGCTGCCACGGACGCGGTCTGAGTCGGAGTCGAGGGTGAGTGGTGCACGGGAGAGCTGGAGTCCGCACGCCCCTCGCAGCAGCCCGCTACCGACTGGCCGGCGGCCGGCGGCCGGCGGCGCTGGCGCGACTGACGTCACGGGCGCGGCCGGCCCACAAGGTCAGCAGGCAGCCTCGCCCGGCGCCGGCGGCGACCGCTCGTACTCGGCAGGCACACCCTCCGGGACCGCCTCCCGCCGGCCCTCCTCGCACGCGGCTCAATAATACGAAAACAAAGCCACGGAAACTTATGTTCTTACATAATCCTGGGGAGCGTCCGCCGGTGTATTGGCATAGTCATGCTGTGCGACGGCCAGGCAGTCCGATAGCTTGAAAGACGGCTGGTACGATAACTCAACAGCGGCAACCGCCTGACATCCAAGTATAACACAGGTAGCATCCAATTCTAGGTAAAACCTTGTAGATTTTCCACATTTGGGTCTCTGAAGCTGCCTGAACTAGTCAAAACTTTTGCTGCAAACGGACTCCGTCTGTTTGTCCGTGCACGATAAGGGCGTGGCAGTGCGACAGTTTGTCTGCTGGTTTAGACTCACCATTGTAGCTTAACCAAATTGATTTTATTTTTCTATCATTCTAAGAGTTTCATGTCGAAAACTTTTGCCTTTTGGAATCACAGACATCACCTTTGAATCCAGTGCATAAGGCTAAGCGTTGGCAACGTTCTGGCAAGCGGCGCCATTTGGGGGGGGGGGGGGGAGTTTGGGTGGGTGGGGGATTTAGAAAGTTTTCCGCTCCACCACTCAAATTTGAAATCTCGTCCCGCAGAGAAAGCTTCTTAACTCTCGCCCTGAGAGGGAAATGGGTCAATGCCCCTCCCGAGGCCTTCTGGAGGGTACCCCTCTGGCATGTCGTGCAATCGCGCCCAAACTGTCAGTAGCCTATGGGCATCCATTGCGTATGTTTTGACACCATAAACGTATCTCTAGAATTTTTTGTTTCCGAGAAAGGGCGGTTTTTTAGTCAGTGCACCGTGATCTACGGCCGGCCCGGGCAGCGGGCGACAACAGAGATTCCACGGACCGCGCGCTGCGGGAAGACACGCGGAGCCATACATCATACGAATATGCTCACGGCACATACCACCGCATGCTATTGCACTTACAGTTGAACGAAGAACACGTCTGTTTAGGTTTCGTGTCGCTAAGAGGCATGAATTCGTAAACATAAGCATATGAAGGTAAAAACTTTGATTTTGAAGAAAACGTGACCCTTGATCTAGCAGTGAGGTCAGTTATTAGCCTAGCAGCATCGAACTTATCAAAAATCGCAAGATATTGTTGAGACTAACCCACTGGTGTTTTCCGCTAGGCTCTCTATTTCTTTCCTTGGAAGCGCGTGCGGGTCGCGTCATCCCCCCCCCCCTTCACACGTATTATAAGAAAATGGCGAATCAATGTGAGCGTTATACAAGCTACCTAGGCGCGCACAAGGCAATATATAACTTTTGTTACAAGGCCCGCTGGATGGATGGTTCAGAACCAAAGAGCTCTTGTGTAAACTCTCTTGCAATCAAGACCACGCAATACACGTCATACAGGCATAGAACCGTACGGATTTAGCGAGGATTGATGGCAAAATGCTGGCTTCTGCAGGCTTCCGTGACGTAGATTTAACAGCAACTTAGTGTCTGATTCCCTCAAGATTAGTACGCATTCTGGGCCAAACTTTTCAGTCATGCTGGTCAAATTAATACCGCATAAATAGTATTGTTCAACTTGAAACAAAATTTGTTGGGCAACACAATGTAATGCATTACCTACGGCTCAGAAACAATTGCATATCACCCTGCATATCATTCTGCTTATCATTGCTTCAATTCACATGTTCTGAGTGAAACCGATGCCTCACACAGACAATAATGGAGTGGAGCAGAATGTAAAATGGCCAGATGCAGCAGAGGAAGCTGAAGAGGAAAAATAAACAGGTATGACTTTGACAAGGCCAAAATAGCGTGGAAAGGAAACGATTCGTTACGTGTGACAAATATATTGGCCAATGTGTGTGGGCTCTGTCTCTCACTTGTGCGTAACAGCGTATTAAATACCTGGCAACAAAACCAAACTGAGTCTTCAAAACAGCTACATATGTTAAAGCTTGATTGGGTCCTATAATGTGATGGTACCCTGAAAATCATCAGCTATAAGGCACACCATGAAAAAAGAAAAAAAACATGCAGACAGTACACATCTCACCTCACGCACCTCACGCACTTTGCTTTTGACTTTCATGCATCGCCACTACCTTTATTTCTGCATCACAAGTTCAAAGTTTTGATATTGAGCTAACAACCTTCAATACACCAGAAGGTGCTGGTAAAATGACGTTGTAGTACTAGATAACAAATATATTGAAGGAACTCTATAATAAGTGTTGTGCTCACCCACTAGGAGTGAGATGGGCTCAGAAAAGCTCAGAAAAATAGTACATAGATAAAACAGTAGTGAGCGCCTTATTCATCGGAAAAAGCGGAAAATGGAGATATAAATGCGTTGATATTTTGGCAACATGCTTTTATCGCAACGAATAGTGAAAGTAGGTCTTGATTTTCTACTAAGAAATCACTCCTGCTATTTGTCGTTTCGGTAGAAGTGTTGTCGAAATTTCAACGCATCTATGTATTCATCTCTTGGTTTTTCTCCGAGGAATAAGGCAATTAATTAAATCTGTCTTATCTATATCCATAATGCTCCTCGCAAATTCACTTCGCAATTTATGAAAAATATTGTGCCTTAAGAATAAGGCACGTAAATGGGAAAATGTTTTCAATCTACCCAGACACTGCTACGAAAAGATGTCGGAAAATTGAATCGTCCAAGCTCCCAGCACTTCGTATACAGATTGATGCTAATGGCGGACAAAAAAAAGCAGGTGGCTGAGCAGGAAGCTCACAAAGTCCAAAGCAGTGTTAGATAAGAGCATAACAAACCGCGATCTTCAGCCACCAAGCAATGTAACACTGCCTTAGCCCTAAGGACGCGTATAAACTAAAACCGATGTCTAAATTAGGTCACATAATGAAGTTTGCACATTCAGTCTAGGTTCGTTCACGTTCAGTCTAGTTAAAAAAGAATGTTGAACTGGGTCATTTTAGGTCAGTGGCCTAGCCGTACCTCTAAGGAGCCCATGGAAAAGTATAATGCGGTTCCTGCTATCAATAAATTCAAAAGTTCGCATAAAAAACCATCCTATGCAGCAAGCCCTAGAGCAATAAAACAGGTTGGTTTTGGCCCTGGTCTGACCTTCACACCTGACTATAGTAAACGTAATTCGCTCATTCAATATTTGTACTGCCTCGGGAAGCATCTCAGAGATGTCTGGCTTCGTCTAACACTCCGTTGCTGCTTCAGATTGAATGATTGCCTAGAAATTAACTTCGCTGAAACTATGGCTTGGCTTTGATCTGCCATAGGTCAGCGACCTTACAAGGTACATCTTAAGTTATGATTCCAAACAATCCGCTGTTTAATTATCTACAGCTATACAAAATGTGACGCGGCTGCGCCGCACCGTTCGGAAACCATTTTGGAAAAACCTTTGGGGGAGAGGTCAATTTGACCCCACCCGAGTGCGGGTAAAAACTCTCTTTAGATGACATACTCATCTGGCGAATTACGTAGCGCAGAACGAGACTATTTGTTACAAGACGGCTATCATTTCATTGCGTTTGCACTTAAGCGTTTGGGATACATGTATGACAAATGGCATATTGGGTTTCTCGAGAGATACCGGCTACAATCCGGCAGCCCATAGTAATTTTCAGCAACGGAGCTGGCTGGTTACTTGCCTCCACAGGTATGTAACTGCATGATGTTTCAGGACATGCAAAGCCAGGGGTGGAATAAGGGCTTTTTTTGTCGCCGACCAAATTTAAGGGGAAAAATTTTCGCCAGTGGTGTGATGCGATACCAGATAAACTAGTCATTAAGTCCATGCCCAGTATCGTCATCAGTAATCAGCCTATCACCGAAAGTCCCTTTCATCACTGCAGTTTTCAATATCGTACACAAAACGGAAACGTTCAGTCATTCAGACCATGATGCGTGATTTAATCCTATTAATTTGTGTCCTGTAGAATACATGCATTGAGGAGCCTGTGGATTGAACGCTCGTGATACTCTTTACCTTTTCCGGGCAGGGGTTCCCGTGAGACCGGGCCGAAACGCTCAGGTAGATTCGGGGGCCCTCAGTCGGACATATCATGTACCGTCTCCTTCGCGACGCAGGAGGCCCACTGACGCGTGGATCCCGAATGACGCAAGACGTTCTCTTACCAGTGCAAGGGGCCCAACAGCTGGCACAGGGATCCTAGTTCTACCTATGGAACTTCTGACCGAAACAGAGCAAGAGCCCCCCCCCCCCCTCCCCCATGCGGTACTGGACTGACCCAAGGTCATTAACATTCATCATACCTTTTTCAGTGTGAGGGCCGCCAACTAACGCGAGAGTCCCTCTGATATGCAGGGACCCCTGTTTTGCTTATCGTCCTGGGGCACGCTGTTGACACCGAATACCTGTGCAACATCTAAGACTTCTCATTTTTTTTGCTGATACGGCTCTCGATCAACCGTAAATATAGGTATTTTAGCCTGAAGTAGTCCGCTACCAGTCCACCTGAAGTGATCTCCCTGCATTCCTTCGGGGGGGGGGGGGGGGGGGGCTTGTGCCAGACCCTTGCGTAGCCGCGCTGGTGATGAGACAGTAGACTCGCATCACACACTGGTTATTTCGGCCGATCATAAGCCAATCGCAAGAGGTCACCCACAGCCAAACCTTCGCCACAGCTCCTGTTAATCCTTTGATATCCAATTCCAGTGACATCCCTGCCGGACCGCACAACGCATGGAACACAAAGGAGGACAATCGCAATCGACCAATGCCCCTCAAACCCACAAAGATGCTTGGTGTGTCCGAAAGATGTCCAAGCATCAAGATGCGGATTGGTGGAAAGTGTCAACCATTCTATCTATCCCGAACATATGTATTTGCATTAAAAAATGCGCTCAGACAAATCACAAATACCGG